TTATCATGTGTCTTGCATTTCCACTGGCGAACCAGCCGTACCATCATGCTCGTCCTGTGTTTCTGAGTGGCGGAGGCTTGAAAGGAGGAGTTGAGGAGGTGCTCGCTGTGGAGGCTGGCTCTCTTGTTGTTGCTTGTCATCCCACCCTTGATGCTCGTCGTTCTCGTGTAGACCGCGGACGGGCGGGCTGGCAGGCTTCGCCTTGCTGACTGACTCCCCGAACTCGTGCTCCCGCGGCTTGCACAATGCGGCAGGAGATGGAGGAGCCAAGGCAACGAGGGGCTTCACCGTTATCACAGCGGAAGCACGATATCGCTGATATCAGCATAGGCATGTGCTTAATTAGCGAGTGCGCCACTGTGAACATGAATTGCTGGATTGAACGTGTTGGTTGCCTCCAGCCGAGGACTCGGAGCCAAAGGAGAGGACACGGGAGCCACCAAAAAGACGCAGCCGCAAAAAAACATCGAGAGGACGGAGCCTGCAACGTCCTGCTGTTGCTCTTGGCGCGAGCTGGGCACTCCAAAACCGCATCCAGGGCGGCGGAAGCATCTGAAGCGGTGTAGATGTCATGACAATGGACACCCTAACCATCTTATTATTAAACTTAAGACGTGTTTAGTACAGCAAAACTGTTCTTACACTGTTCAAAGCATCTTTACATGTTTAAACGCATTGAAAGCATTGTTTAGACGTCTGGAGATTATTTGGCAACACGTTTCCCCTCCATCGATCGTCGTCCACGACGGGGGTGGCGACGGGCTCCGAGGAAGCAGACCAGAGACGCGTGTTGGTCCCGAGCGCAGATGCGGGTACTGGCACGGGCGGGGCGCACCCGGCGCGGGGCGAGGGGGGCGGCTGGAAGAGCAGAGGGCGGCCGCGGAGGAAGCCACGGGGAAGAGCCCGTCCACCGAGGATCGGTGGGCGAGGGGGGGGGGGAGGGGTGTATGGAGGGCGAGGGGGAGGGGGAGGGGGAAGGGGGGAGAGGGGAGGGGGAAGGGGGAAGGGAGAAGGGGAAAGGGGGAAGGGGGAAGGGAGAAGGGGGAGGGGGAAGGGGCAAGCTAGGTGCGCTCGCGTCAACATCTGACATCCTACCCCTCCCTCCCATCCCTTCCCATTGAGCTACTTCATTGTCCTCTCACCGAATCGGGCTTCGCATCTGACCCTGTTACCTAAGAGGGAAAGGAGGAGGACGACGGCGCGATGAAAACGAAGACGACGACGACGAAGACGACGACGACGACGACAACCACGACGACGACGACGACGGCGGCGACGACGACGACGACGACGATGAGGACGACCGGCGACGAAGACGACGACGACGACGACGCGACCGCGCCGGAGCGGCACCCGCGCCAGCTGCCCGCTGCCGTTACGCGCGTCCCCCACCCGGATCTGAAATTTCTGCAGGGGTGAAACGAGAGTAGCATTCATATTGGGTAATGGTAGAGTGGGTCCGATGTCCGATGAAAACCAAACTCCCGGGAATCCTGTGCGGAAAAGGACGCCGCCCAAAAGGGGGGGGGGGCTTTCTGCGGCCCCAAAAATCAACGAATCGACACCGGATGTGTAATCACCTCCAATGTTTTTGCCGGGGATCATTTTCTAGATTTGGGGCTTCTTAAAAAGGATCGAAAACGTCGGCGCTGCAGCGGGAGCACGTTTTGGAACAACGAGAGGCGCAGAAATTGGGCCAGCGCTGCAGCGGGAGCACGATTCGGAACGAGCGGGAGCGCGGAAATGAGGCCAGCGCTGCAGCGGGAACACGATTCGGAAGGAGCGGGAGCCCGAAAATTAGGCCAGCGCCTCAGCGAGAGCAGCATTTTAGAAAAAAAACACAAGCGAAAACCCAACTCCGGGGAATCCTGTGTGTAAAAAAACAGTACGCGGGGGGGTGCCGAACATCTTCCGGACGCCATCAGGGGAAGTGGGAGAGTAGTATTCATATTGTGGAATTGTGAAGGGGGAAGGGGGAGGGGGAGGGGGAGGGGGAGGGGGACGGCCTCGGCCACCGAGCACCGTGCAGGGCAGGAGCGGAGCCGGCAGCGTGGAGCCCGCCGCCGAGGCAGGGGGCCGGCCGGGCGCGGGCGCAGGACCGACGCCACAGGGCAGGGGCAGGGGCCAGCGAGGCGCGCGCAGGACAACGCCCGCAGGACCAGCGCCTGGCTCGGGGCAGTGCTCGCGGGCTGCCAAGCGCTCCTCGCACGGAGCGGCCACAGGAGAGCCCCAAGCGAGCGGGCACGGGGGCCGCCCGCATGGCCATGGACGGCAACGAGCTCGTCCCCAGGGTGCACGCCGCCACCGGGGATGCGGGACGCGTGAGGATCTCGAGCAGGACGTCCATCGACACGGCCCGCCTGAGGAGCTGCGCTCCTCGTTCCAGCGAGCCGGTCTTGAGGCGTCCGGCGGGCAGGCTGCACTGCACATCGGGAAGACAGCTTCGAGTTCAGGCGTGCTCCCTCCCTCCCCCCCATGCGAGGGTCCCTGCGCTTCAGACGTGGGCTCCTGTTCCATGAAGACGCACTTCGCAAATGAACGGCTGCACTGCAGAGAGTGAAGCGATGCGCCACACGGCCACGCAGGTGCAAAACGTAACAACAGCGGCCAAATAATACAGGGGAGGCCAGTCCACAAGAAACCTTCCGCAAGAAACCCAACCCTGAGACCCCAGAACGTTCATTGATTCTCGGTGTGGGAACGTCACGCTTTCCATAGCGAAACCATCGAAACCCAAGAAACCCAGGGCACCCTGGAGGCGAGCAGGGTGTTCCTTGGCATGGGCCTCCACTGTAAGCGATCGCTACCCATGACAAGTGCTGCCCAGCCACCCTGCAGCACGAGGTCGCGCTCTGACGTGAGAGGCAGCACAGTCTTTGCCGAGAGAGGCCTGCTGGCCCTCGGGCGGGACTGTGCCGTGCAGGTGATGCAGCAGGGCTAATCTGGAAATAGACTCCCAGAAGTTGGAGGAGAAGGCAGAGGAGAGGAGGAGGAGGGAGGAGGAGGAGGAGGAGAAGGAGGAGGAGGGGGAGGAAGAAGAGAAGACGAGGAGTAGGAGGAGAATGAAGAGGAGGAGGAGGAGGAGGAGGAGGAAGGGGAGGAGGAGAAACGACCCAGCCACGCTCGAGAGAAACGGACGGTCAAGATCAGGGGACAAGAGAGACCCGACCGCACCAAGGAGACGCGGGAGAGATCCACTGCCTAGCAGCGGGGGGGTGGCGACCCCGACGATGCAGAACTTTCGCGAGCCAGAACTTGGGGGGTGGCATCACGAAAGATATGCCCGCGAGCTGGGCAAGCGCATCGCACCGGCGAATGGAAGAGGACAAGGGCGACGAGGAGAAGGAGAAGGAGGGACGGAGAAGGGAGTAGGAGGGAGCAGGAGGGAGGAGGAGGAGGAGGAGGAGGAGGAGGAGGAGGAGGGTCGAGGGTCGAGGCTACCGAGCGCGCGCCCGATCCGAGCACGCGACGGGCTCTAATATGGAGCCTGCTCCCGCCGAACACGAAGAGCAGGGACCCCAAGGCCTGCACGGCAACCGCGGACGTACCGCACACGTGCCGCCGACCAAGGGGGAACGGCCGCCGTGGGAACACCCTCGGGACAGCAACCGCGGACGTACCGCACACGTGCTGCCCGAGGGGGCCCACAGGGGCCAGCCTCTCAGAGCTCGGCGAGCTTCCGCAGCGCCTCCACCCCGAGCTGCTTGAACATGGGGCCGTCGGTGTCGGGCCTGGACGAGGCCGCGAGGAGCCGCGCGAGCAGCTCCGCGCGCTCGTCCGAGGGTACCGCCGCCGCAGCCTCCGCCAGTGCGGGGCCGCTCCCAGCCGCAGCGGCTGCGGCTCCGCCAGCTCCAGGAGCCAGCTCCGCCGACGCCGCCACCTCCGGAGCAGCCGCAACCGCGGCCGCAGGCCGCAGCTTACGCCTCCGCGCCACGCGTGGCGGCAGGGCGTCCGCCCAGCTGTCGTCGACGGAGCCGTCGGAGATGTCCATGGCACCGGGGGGCGCACCAGCGGGCACGGCGGCAGGCACGAGGAGGAGAAGAAAGAGGAGAAGAAGGAGGGGGAGGGAGGAGGAGGAGGAGGAGGAGGAGGACAAGAGCAGAGCCAGCACACCGTGCAAGACACCCTCCCGCCCAGCCCACAGCACGGGTGCAGGTCGTCTCACTGCGGCGAGCGGCCCCTGGAATGGCACGCAGTGACGCAGGCAACGCGTCAAGCAATGAGCGGCCTGCGCATGGCAAAGATAGGATAGGCCGCCCTTATACGTACCAAGTGGCATAATGCGTTGGCAGACCGACGTACCCTCGATGACTCCCCCTCGCTGCGTCTCGTGCTGGAGCACGCCCTGTGTGAACACCAGCCTGCAGCAGCCGACCCGACACAAGTGATGCAAGTGCGCTTCTTGACATCTCGCATCTGCAACGCATTCGAACCTTGCCCACGGTCTGGTGCAAGGACATAGCTTCCCCATCAAGGCACGTCTCCCCTGACTTCCATGCTCACAATTGCCACGTGGCAGACCTGCCCAATCCCTCCGGATCATCCGACACCTTCGGCTCGTCCTGCAGCTCCCCTGCGATGTCCACGTCCCAGCTGGGTACCGCCTTACCCCAAAGCTCTCGTCGATCCCTCGGCCATCGATACGAACCTTTGCTGCCAACAGAGGGGGAACTGAGTGGCCACTGCCAACCACACGAACACACTTCGCTGTCAGACATTTCGAACGTGGCGGTGTTGGGAGGGTAGCCCCGCTCAGAACTGGTGAGCCACATGGCCGATGCCACTACCAAGCAAGCAAGAACAAGCACAAGCAAAACATACAGATAGGCATACGCATATGAAAATATACAGATCAGTAAATGGAGCCAAACGCCAGGAATTCCTGAAACTAGGTAGACATTCCATGCGAGAGAAAATGATTTGGAGATGCGGCCTCCTGCACGGGACACACGCGCGTCCATCTTGAATCTTCCATACAGCATGACTGCAAATGTTCGCTTAGATACTGGCAGGTTAAGATTGCACACGTCTAAAACTCCCGTCACAAATGATCTGTGACAGAAGGTAACAGTTACCGTGCCACTACTTTCAAAATCAGTCACCATGAAAAATCGGCAGCAACTGGCTGGACTTACTTGGAATAGATGAACCGAATCCCAGAAGCAATATGACACGAAAAATGGCGAGGGTGCCAAGGTAATGCGCATGAGTACGCATGCGAAGGCGCATTTTTACGGAAATGTCGACACGTAGATATGCATGTTACAGGTGGCTGTGCCCGTGAACTCCGAAATATGTATATCGTACAAAGCGCAATCTTGCTGGCAGTGGCAGCAGAGATGATGCTAGTTGCAAGCGGGTGCGGTGAAGCACTGGTGATGCAAAGGTGGCGGGAGCAACAGATGCAGCAACGAGATCCGAGTATGAACCGCAGCGACACCGCGATCCGCAGCGCCGATTACGTAGGCAGCAACAGCACACACGACGGGCAGTAAACGCGCTCGTGCTACCAGCTGCAGCAAGATGCCGGCAACGCGGGTGACGGCCCGCGTGGAGCCAGTCACGATGGTTGCGATCGCTTCAGCCGGGGAGACGTAAGACCCGGGTACGGGGGACTCGGAAATCCCCGACGAGGTCGTCAAAAAAATGACGAGGCCGAGCCTGCATTTGACGAGGCCTCCCGCTGCAGACATCTCACAAAACTCATCCTCGTCAAAATCCGAGTCGCGGTCGTCAAAAAACGATGGCGAACCCGAGTCCCGGCAAACAGCCGATACATTACGGACACCGTGCAGCTGCGGATGCCCAGGCAGTGGGCACGCAGGCGGACTTGCCGACGGGCGGACCGCGCGGTCAGCAGCACAGCGGTGAGAAGTGGGCCCGCGCGCCGACCCGCTGGAGCGGCCGCCCTCCCAGCGGCGGAGACTCCCGGCATGCGCTCAGGAGGCCCTTTTCTTCGTGCGCCGCCCCTGCATCCACAATGATCAAGATCGGGGAAGGTGAAAATAAAAGCAAGCCGCCAGATGCAGAGCTGATGTGGTCGGAGCATGGTGGCCGCTCGTCCTCTCCCCCTCCCTCCTCCCCCCTTCCTCCGGGTGCAGAAGTGGCGGAAGAGGTCACCATGGCCCAGATCAGTACCAGCAGCAAGCGCAGCAAATTGCGCACTGCCAGTGGCAGCAAGACTTGCACCGCCGGGCGGCAGCAGTGGAACGTGCGGCAACAAGGTCCGCAACAGTCGGCGTCGTGAGAACAGCGACCACACAAGCAGAAATTAGAGGCCTCCCAAATGGGGTCCAATTAGATGTGGTCAGAGGATCGCGCCTCATGGCCGATGCATCGATGATGCATCGGCCACGTCGGCGGTGCATCGGCGACTTCGGCGTGGTAGAAACTGGGCTCCCTAGCGAACCGCATCGGCGATGCATTGGCGATGCGGCGCGATGCTCTGACCCCATCTACTCTGAACCCACTTGGGAGGCCTGGGGTAATCGTGTCGGTGGCCACTGGCATACCAAAACGCGAAAGTAGAAGCTGTGGCAAGGCCACCGCTGATGAGTATGCAGCTCGATAAAAATACCGTATAAATGAGATTCATAATAGAAGTAGCGCCGTCCGTACATGACTCGTGATTGGAAGCATTCGGAAGCATTCAAAAAATAGGCGGCGGTACCAGGTATACAAATAGAACCTTAGGATGCCGCCAGGTGGGTACTACTTATGACAAATACCCCTGCGAACACTATTATCAGGCAATGCGACTTGGAACGGGTACGACGACGAGAAAAAACTGGATGACGGGGGCGCGGAGGAGCAGGAAAGAAAGCCAACACCACCAGGTAATCACGCGCACTACATGCGGATGCAAGCATTTAAACGCCCAGGCTACCAGAACGCTTAAATCTGCAACTAAGAAACAAGCCAGCACATGGGATGGGAATCCACTTCAGGGCCGCTGGGTAGCCAAGAATGACGCTAGATTTGCCACACGAGCCCGCAGAAGCAACACAAACTAACAAATTTCTGTAGGGTACATATATATATATGTGTATATATATATATAGAGAGAGAGAGAGTGAAAGAGATAGAGATGAGTAAAGAGCAGCACATCACTCGCAAGGGGAAAGCGAATGGGCGGAATGTCTCTGTGGCCGCACGCGGAAGCGACTCGAGGAAAGCACTTAATCCAATGTCCACAGATGGCTCACGCAGCCAGCCAGCGGATGATCTCGAAGACCGGTTCCTCACCTTGAAAGTTCACGGCCATCGACCACAACATACCGCACCACACCGACCGAGAGCGCTTTGATGACCTCGTGGAAACACAGTCAAAACACAGCGGGCGTCGTTGAGCATAGAGAAGCACGGAAAAAGACCTCCTCCTGCTCCGTCGCCATCCTCCGTAATTCCCCCCCTCTCCGCAATCCCCCCTCCTTTCGCCAGCCTCTTCCTCCGATCGGAGGTGGACACAATCAGTGAAAGAGATTCAGAGCATGACGGCACACAGGGGGGGGGCTATGCGGACCCACCTGGCAGGCTGCATGTCATTACTTACCCTCAGGCCATCATGCTATTTCCCGTTGCGCCACGGCGCGCTAATACCACACCCAATACTGCAATCAAAATATTCTAGAAATTGTCATGCTGCCACTGTGGCCATTCAAAACAAGGCAAGAACTACACGCCAACTCAACACACACACACACACACACCATCTTGAACAGGGCGGTCGGTTCGAAACTCTGTGTAAGGCTGCCCGCCTCTACGTCGGACCCGCTGTCAATGGTGGCATCAGCGCCACCTCGCTGGGAAAATCCATAAAGTTATGAATACAATGCGCAGCTAGCCACCCTCCACTGCAAGACCAGATCCACAAAATGCTCGCACGATTGTTGAGCACGTGCTCATGGCCCGTGGGAAACATATGAAACCAATCAAAACATTCCACTGGCTGCTAAATTGCAGCAGCCGCACAATGACAGCAGTAGCAACGCAAATAACTAATTGCATGATGTGTGTCTTGGAATTTGCGCGGGACAACCTACCCCGTGTGCACCAAAAAGCTTCACACCTTTACAGGGGCTGCACCAACACACTCATCCAGAATATCATGTTTGATCTGAGCACAAGGGAACGACGAGCCGTAGATGGCAGTGATCAATCTTGCACTCACAGCACCATGATTAAACACTGCCACCCGCAACTTCGGAAGTGGTACGATGTTTGATTCGATGATCTGGTATGCTAGGTCATAGCAGCGCTTGGCCCAAACCAGTGTCTCCATGTTAGCTTCTGTACTGGGCCCCCTCCAACGTGCCTGCACAGCCTCACCCGTCCGTGGGTCGGATCCTAGGAGGCGAGGGCCTACGGATGGGACATTATGGGTGGGACGCGGTGGACATGGCCCTCCTCCTCCTCCTCCTCCTCCTCCTCCTCCTCCTCCTCCTCCTCCTCTTCCTCCTCCTTCTGAGCGTGAGACCCCATGAGTACGACCCGTGGGTGGGACAGTGCGGCTGCAATCAGAACCCAGAGTTGGAAGGCAAGGTAAGGATGCAAGGATCCTGGAAGTCCCATGTACCATTGCGAGCTCCTTGGGCGTCGAAGCTGGCTCTGGATGGGCCGAGGAAGCAGGGGTGCAGGGGTAGCTTTGATGAAGTAGCGAATCCTTACTATGGACTTTTGACTGTCGGACGCCATGGGTGGGACCCAATCGATGGGACCCCGTGGGCGGAATTCTATGAACTGACACCGCTCGCCACCAACAAATCTGACAAGCGAGGGAAATCCACGCCGTCCTGAGGGAAAGCCCTCCGTACCAGCACTCTGGGGGGGAACACTCTGTGCACACACGTTTGCTTACTGTGGGCCGAACCCCATGGCCAGCCGTCGCCGTGCACACCCTCGGATCAACAGAACGAAGCACGCTCACACCACTGATGTCCCCACATGCAAACTGGAGCGCGCGGCAATCGGCACGGAACTCCTGATTGCATTCTTCAGCACGTCGAGGAATGCACCAAGTCACCTACAGAAAGTGAGTGTTCGAGGGATGTTTAATCCAGACCACAAGCTTGCCAGAATTCCTAGGCGCTCCTGGACGAGTCTGGCGTGTACCTCATGGCCTCGAGGAAGCCAGACCCGCCCGAGCCGCCTCCAAAGACCTCTAAAATAGTTTTCCAAGCAACGAACAGAAAGGCTCAGAAGTCTCCAGGTAGCCCCAAGGGACCGTCCTGGAGCTTTCATGAGCTCTCTTAGGGAACTCTTGGGCCGCCTTGGAGGCCATAGGGGTTGGCCCAAGAGGCCAAAATCATTGAAGCCTTTGGACTTAGTATTATGTCTGCACGCTATGTTTATGGGTCGTCGGAACGTCCAGGATGGCTCGAAAGGCTCCGAAGACCCGCCAGAAAATGCCTCGGAGTCGCCAGGGGGGCTCCCAAAGAGGCCCCCAAGAGGCCTCCGGAAGCCCCCAAAGGCCTCCAGGAAGGCTCCAGTGAAGGCCACAAGCGGCCCCCAAGAGGCCCCAAATGGGCCTCCAAGAGGGGGATGGGCCGAAGGCCACTAGATACACCGATACTCACCCCTTGGTGTATACGGCACCTGGTGATGGGTTGCGCTGCTGTTCGGAGTCTTTGAGGCAGAGTCAAACTACTCTGCCAGGCAACGGGTTACTATCTTGCCATTTGGCTTATGTATTCAGGTTCTGAGTTGTCTCTATCGCGTGGTTGACTTGTCAACCCGCTCTGGGATAAGTCAAAGCAATTTGCTCAACAAGGCTGCACTGCATCATGCACTCCAACGACACTGTGTCAGTACTTGGCTAACTGGGACAACTATCCAGACAAGAACCAAGAGCCCTTGATGTAAGATGCCTGGACGCCTGAGCAATTTCTGGCAATCGCTGTGCTGGGCTTCGTGGAACGACAAGGGTTTTCCATGGCGTTGTTTATCTGAGCATTGCGGCACGTCGTGCCGCCCCCGCATATATATATATATATGTATGTATGTATGTATGTATGTATGTACGTAAACACATATGTGTATAAATGTATATATATATATATATATATCAGCCTTTCAATGAGCACAAGGCATGCAGTATACCAAAAAAAACACGTCTGCTGACCAGCATATTCTGCAGGCCCCGAGAATGTACAAAAAAAACACCACGTCGATTCCTCCTCTCCCCTCCACCCTCATCTTCCTCTCCTCTTCCCTGGGACAGGGATGGGATGAGGGAGTTGGTGGTGGTGGTGGTGTATACCTTTGGGCCTCGTATACGCAGTTGACCAGTTTGAGCGCGAGCCACAAGGAGCATGCACGCATGCGCGATGAAATGAGCGCAGAAGATTACAAAAACCTGCCGCGAGCCCATGGCACAGGGGGATCCACCCAGCGAGCGAGTCAAACACGGTCGGGAACCTATGTTTAGCATGTCGCGGCGGCGGTCCTGGTGACACGCTACGCCGTGCAAGTGGATAACGTGTCGCTCTGCTCCACTGGGCGGGAGGCTCGGAAAGGCTCGGGACGTTGACGCTTGGGGACCAGGAAATGGGTAGCGTGTCGCGCCGAAGCCTGGTGAGTCAGAACCGGCGACGCGACACGCTAAGCCAAAACTCCTGACCGTAAGTTGGAGGCGGCCAGGGGGGCTGAACTGGATTGGCCCCCGAAAAAACCGAGGGGGGACAACAGCAAATCCGCTCAAAATCGGTCCCCAGACCCCTCGCGGGCTCCATCTGGTGCAATTTTTCACCGCGGATCCGTTCTGACGGTCCTGGGGCCGAAACAAGCTCCTGGAGGCCGAAACGGGGACCAAACCTTCTCGAGCCCAGGGCGCCGGGCTTCGCCCCCCCCTCCTTCTGGCCAGAAGCAGCGCTGGGTGGCCTCAGACCCCCAGCTGGCTCCAAACTGCAAGCGCACGACTGCCCCAGGCTGGGAGCTGACTTCAGAGCGCAGCACGGGCAGCCGCAGCGAGAGAGCGCTGCTGTCGGCACCGCTCGCCATCAGGTCCGCGGTGTGCTGGGGAGGCACGCCCTGCCCCCCCATGTCCGGCTCTCTCGGCGCCTCCCTGCCTCCTCCGCCGCCTCCGGGGCGCAGGAGGACATGAACAGCTCTGTGCGCTCTCCTCGGAAGCGCAGGTCCGAACCAACCGGACAGATTGCACATCGTCACCCGAGCGGTGTGGCCGGACCGCGCTCGCCACCGGGCACGTGCTACAAGAACTCTGAGCGCGCCCGTCGCCCCTGGGGAGTGGGCGACGCCCTCTCAGTGCAAGCATGCTTGGACGATGCCGAACCTTACTCGTCCGTGAGAGCGTGCGCCCAGCGTGCTCGGGGGCGTCCAAGAGGAGTCGTCCGAGAGGGGGGTTCGCCATTCATGGACCGAGGCACGTGCGCGGCCCAGGGAAGGGCCAGGGGACGTACTGAAACAAGACGAGGTGCCACGAAGCCCGAGCAGATATCACGGCCCCCGCCATGACATCATCCACCCGCCCCTATCACCACCCCCCGAACGGCATACATCACCAAGGCGCTGGCGCTGCAATCGGCAGAAGTGTGCCTCGCTGACACCTTGGCACCCTTCAACGAGCAACTGGCATCAGCATGTACACACACACACACACTCTTTCTCCGGCGCGCCGAGGAGTCCAATCGGCAGGCAATGCAGCGGGACGCCTTTGCAAAGAACTGTGACGCCCTTGCGACATGGCGCGGCCAAGAGATACGGCGCAGGCACGCGAAATAGCGACCCCCGGATCGAAAGAAAGGCGGCGCAGGCGCAGAACTGCGCAGAGCGGCAGGAGAGCGGAGAGCACCACCGGCAGGCCAGGCCAGGAGGTCGGGAGCAGCGACGGCACACTGGCCGAGAGACAGAGCTGGAGCGGCAGACGGAGAAGGGCCAGGCGAACAGGCAAGGCGAGACAGAAGGTGGCTGGGAAGCCCGGCGACCACACACGCAATATTCACATAGCTGCATACATACATACATACATACATACATACATGCATGCATGCATGCATGCATGCATGCATACATACATACATACATACATACATACATACATACATACATACATACGTACATACAGATCTATACATACCTACATACATGTCTACCGACGTACCTACCTACATATCTACATACCTACATACCTACATACCGACCGACCTACCTACCTACCTACCTACCTACCTACCTACTTACATACCTGCATAGATATGCAGATGATACCGGAGAAAACCCAATCACCATATGTTTGGGGCTATAAGGCTATAGAGCTCTGGGGCTGGAGACCTATGGGGCTATAAGGCTCTGGGGATATGGGGCTGTAGGGCATTACATCGCCGTGACGAAAGGTTCTTTCAATTTGCCTTTTGGAATGACGCGCTCGTGCGGAGTAGTTCGGAGTAGTTTTACTAAAACTACTCCGCACGCAATCGCATCCCGCTCGATAATTTATATGGCTTGGTGCGGAGTAGTTTCCGATCCCGTTTTGGGGTAACAGAATTATTAACGTCTCCGGGATCGGAAACTACTCCGCCGAATGATCCCAACATCATGTCATGTTAGGAATATTGAAAGGGATGGGAGAGATCTTCATCATAGCGAACTGAAGATTTTTGTTGTCACGGCTGTGTAGGCGTATACGGCTATAGGGCTATAGGGCTATCGGGCTCTAGTGCAAGAGGGCTATAAGGCTATAGGGCTATAGGGCTATAGGGCTATAGGGTTATAGGGCTATAGGGCTATAGGGCTATAGGGCTGCAGGGCTGTAGGGCTGTAGGGCTATAGGGCTATAGGGCTATAGGGCTATAGGGCTATAGGGCTATCAGGCTACCAGGCTACCAGGCTATAAGGCTATAAGGCTATAAGCTTATAAGGCGATTATAAGGCTATAAGGCGATAAAACTATAGAGCCCCGGGCACCCGGGCACCCGGGCACCGGGGCACCCGGGCACCCGAGCACCCGGGCACCCGGGCGTGCAGCCGAAATCGGCGCCACAGCTAATCTAACCATATGAATCCACTAGGAGCCCTACAGAGGCAAGCTCTGATTGGGGAACATGCATGCGTGCATACATGTATACATGCAAACACGCATACACGCATACATGTATAAATACGAGAAGACGCGTTTCACGGGCGCTTGCCTTGGGAACATTCGGCGGCGCGTTTCAAACTGAGGGGTGGGCCCCCCCCCCAACACTCGGCGCCGTCGATCAAAACCAGGGAGACCCCCTCCCCCCAAAGCCCCCCCTCCCGAACCCCCCCCCCGCCCCCCTCTCCCAAGGGAGGGGGGGGGTTCAAAAAACCCCCCTCTCGGCGCCGGCGCCGGCGCTGGCGGCCGCCAGCAGCGCCCACGGCAGGGACGCAGCGACGATGACCAGAGGCAGCCCAAAAGGGGGGGGGTTCAAACCCCCCCCCTCCCAAGGGGGGAGGGGGTTCAAAACCCCCCCCAACCCCCCTCGGCGCCGGCGCTGGCGCCGGCGACGGCGGGGACGCAGCGACGATTGCCACCACTACCACCACCACAACCACTACTTACCACCACCCACCACTACCACCACCACCACCGCCTCAACCCACCACCACCACCACCACCACCACCACCACAGCCACCACCACCACAACCACCACCGCAATTCACCATCACCACCACCACCGCCACCACAAAAACCCACCACCACTACCACCACCACCACCACAATCTATTACACAACCACCACCACCACCGCCACAACCACCACCACTACCAGCAGCACAACACACCGCCACCACCCACCCACAAACCACCACACCACCACCACCGCACCACCACCACCACCACAACAAACGTCCACAAACCACCGCCACCACCACAACCCACCACCACTACCACAAAGCACCACCACACCACCACAACCACCACCACCACAACTGACCATCACCACCACCACCACAAAAACCCACCACCACTACCACCACCACCACCACAATCTACTACCACCACCACCACCACCGCCACAACCACCACCACTACCAGCAGCACAACCCACCACCACCACCACAAACCACCACACCACCACCACCACCGCCACCACCACCACAAGCACCACCTCCACAAAGCACCGCCACAACCACAACCCACCACCACCACAAACCACCACCACCACCACCACACTACCACCAAACCAGCACCACCACCACCACAACCCACCACCACCACCACCACCACAAACCGCCACCACACCACCACCAAACCACCACCACCACCACCCACCGCCACAACCACTACCACCACAGCAAACCACCACACCACAACCACCACAACCACCACCACCGCCACCACTACCACCACAACCCACCACCACCACCACCACCACCGTCGTCCTCGTCGACGCTCATCGCCACCGCCGCCCGCCGCCGCAGGCGCCGGCGCCGGCCAAGAAATGGAAATCGTCGTCCCCGCCGCCGTCGCTAGCCGCCGCCGACCCAAGCGCAGCGCCGGCCCGAGGAGAGGGGAAGCAGGGGGGAAGGGGGGGGGTTCGAACCGCCCCCCCCTCCGTCCGTCACGAGAAGGGGAGGTGGGGGAGGGTTCGACCCCCCCCCCCTCTATCACGGGACACGGGAGGGGGGGCGGGGAGGGGTTCGAACCCCCCCCCCTCCATCCAGGGGGGAGGGTCCAGTTTCAACCCCCCCCCCTCCAAGCGACCACAGAACGTGCTCTTTCATACATACATACATACATACATACAGACAGACAGACAGACAGACAGACAGACAGACAGACAGACAGACAGACAGACAGACAGACAGGCAGGCAGGCAGGCATGCATGCATGCATGCATGCATGCATACATACATACATGCATACATGCATGAATAAAGAGATGCATACAGACATAGATGGATTACTGAATATGCATCCGTATGCTAAAACAAAAACCAGACAAATAAAAACAACCACCAAGCAAAAAAAATCGACGCACCAGTGAACCCAACTAGCAGAAAACGATGGGGGGGGGGGGCACCCTCAGAGCAAATTGCCTTCCTTTCGCCGGCAAGCCCAGGGGAGTGAGAGTGGGCAGGCCTTCTGAGAAGGCGGCGGGGCTTCTCAAAAGCCCCCCCGCCTTCTGAGAAGCCGCATCCGTCGTCGGAGAAGGCTTAGGACATGTCTCAAAGGCGCGAGGGCTTCTGAGAAGCCCCCCCCGCCTTCTGAGAAGGCCTGCCCTCTCTCACTTCCCCCTGGGCTCGCCACCAATCCTTGTGAAGCAACGCGGCTTGTCTGGACCATCTAGAACCGCGCGAACGCGGGATCAGAGCAGAACGCCAGGCGGTGCATAGGAAGGCACCGACTATACACCAACACCGATCCTGGCCAGGATCGGTGTTGGTGTATAGTTGGTGCCCTCCGAGGTGCAGGAGCGGAAGACGCGAGATGAAGGCGAAACGACCACATCCGACCGATTGTGGATAGAAGAAGAGGAGAAGAAGGGGGCCACCGCTGGGAGGTGCCAAGCAAGAGCCCGCTTTGTTATGTTCGCGATCACGCCCACGACCGTCCCTCGCGCCGGCGCCGTCTGGGAATAAGACGGCGCTGGCGCGAGTCGTGACGTGACTGGACCCCTCCCCCCCCCACAACTCCGCCTCGCGGTTACGCCCGTGAGCGCAAAAAAACGAAAACACGGCCTCTGGTCGACCGGGCGTGGCGACGCCAGCGCATGGCAGAGAACAACCACAAGCGGGCCGAGCCGCGTGGCAGGTAACAGAACAGGCGACGGGGACCAGAGGTGGAGGAGGAAGTGGAGGAGGAGGATGAGGAGGAGGGAGGAGGAGAAGGAGGAAGAGGAGGAGGAGGAGGAGGAGGAGGGAGGAGGAGGAGGAGGAGGAGGAGGAGGAGGGAGGAGGGAGGAGGAGGAGGGAGGAGGAGGGAGGAGGCGGAGGAGGAGGAGGAGGAAAAGGTAGAAAGGCGGCTGGGACGCGCGGCCGACCAGGCCGCGAAGGTGTAGGCAAGCACCGGCAAGCCAAGACGAAAGCAACGCGCGAAAACCTGCCAGCCTCTCGGGCGCAGCGGGGGGGGGGGAGGACTGGAAAGAGCGAGGCGCAGGAAGCGGAGGGCGTCTCTCTCCGCTTCCTTAGAGGCGTCCCACATGGGGTCGGAGTAGATGGGGTCGGACGATCGCGCCACATCGTCGATGCATCGGCGTTGCATCGGCGATGCATCAGCGACGTCGGCGATGCATCAGCGACGTCGAGGTGGAGAGAATCGAGCCGCATTGCCGATGCATCGGCGATGCGGCGTGGTCCTCCGACTCCATCTGCTCGGACCCCATCTGGGGGGCCCAGATTCCTGCTACTGGCGCTTCCCTTAGGTCGGGCATGTCCTCCTGCAGGCGGATGCTGGAGAAGAAAGAAACAGGTTGAAAGCATGAAGGATGTGACAAATAGCCAAAAACAGAAAATCGTGCCCAGACTGTTCTGGAGTATCTTTGAACAGCCCTCCTGGAGAGGGAGATGCCCGGCTGAACCCTTCCCCGTCCTCTCCCATCAGGGAGGGGTGGCAGGGACGCGGAGGCCGCATAGTCGTCCTCCACGTCCCAAGCCCACACACGTGTCGGTCACTGGACAGGAGCGCGGTCCACCCGCTGGTCGCGAAGCCGAACAGCCAAACATCGTCCAGAGTGAAGTCATCCGACCCAGCCCCGACCTCGCAGAAGCCTCCAGAGAGTCAGAGAGATCCCCTCGGAGCTGGCAGGGGCTGCAGAGCCGCCCCCCCCGCAGCGCGCAGAGGGGGGCCGCGGCCGAGCGCGGCGTGCCCAGACCCCCGACGTCGAGGTTGTCTCACAGCGCAACCCCCACAGGTCCCTCCTCCTCCTCCTCCTCCCTCCTCCTCCCTCCTCCTCCCTCCTCCTCCTCCCTCCTCCTCCCTCCTCCTCCTCCCTCCCTCCCCTCCCTCCCTCTCCTCCTCCTCCTCCTCCTCCTCCCTCCTCCTCCCTCCTCCTCCCTCCTCCTCCTCCTCCTCCTCCTCCCTTCCTCCTCCCTCCTCCTCCTCCTCCTCCTCCTCCTCCTCCTCCGACTCCGACTCCGACTCCGACTCCGACTCCGACTCCGACTCCGACGCCGACTCCGATTCCGACTTCGACTCCGACTCCCCCTCCTCCTCCTCTCCTCCTCCTACTCCTCCCCCTCCTCCTCTTCCTCCTTCTCCTCCTCCTGTTCCTTTTCCTCTTCCTCTTCCTCCATTCCTTCCCTCGTTCCTTCCTTCCTATCTTCCCTCCTTCGGTGCCCAGGCCCCTGTCCAGAAAGACAATGATCGGGTTGGGAGAATCGGGTTGGGAAGATACGGGACGCGACTGTGCAATCAGCAGACTCGACATACGCGATAAGACGGATGGTTGAATAAGCTCTCCCCAGTCCCATGCTCCCAACCAGATCCATGTCTTCCTGAAACGTCAACCCCTTGCCCAGGCCCCCGTCCAGACGCGCACATCGGAGGCTCGCGCTGGCGGTGGCTCTACCAGCTTGATAGCACCGGCGGCGACACGAGCGCCGCAGCGGAGAGCGCCGAGGAGAGCGGACAGGTGGCGGGTGCCCAGATCGAGCGGGAGAGGGGGGGCAGCACGGCGGGTCGACGCACGCACGGACGGGCGAGTAGCTCAGATGCGGCGTCAACGGTCCTGAGAGCAAGAAGAGAGGACAACAACGAGACCGAGAAAAGCCTCGTACCTAGATGCAGGCACGGGTACAGACAGAGCGTCAAAGTGTAGAGCACGAAACTACAAGCCCGCTGCCAAGGCACATCCGTGACGAGAAACTGCTGTGTACAATGTCCCATGCCACCGCAATGCAAAGGCTGGCTCAGACTGGTTCACCTTGAAGCGAGAATGGCACCCTTCAGCACTGTCTGACAGCGCTGGGACGACTGGCCACGTCCGATTTCAAGGCTCACTCGGAGCCAGCCTCATTGACACGTTTCCTGATCGCCTCAGCGTCTCTTTGCGTCATCGCGGGATTAGTTGCCCGCTCTCTGCCTTTGAGCCGCGCTGCCCCGTCTCCCGCCGCCTCGTTGTTCGATTCCCCTTCGATCGATCCCATTGCACGGCATGATCTCTACCAACATCGTTGCCTCGCTGCCTCATCTTCCACCTCGGAACCGGTCGTTTACGGCCTCGCCGCACCTGTGCCCGACGGGGTCACTGCCCCCGTGCGTCGCTGCCTCGTCGCCTGCCTGCGTGGAGGCCCCCAAGAGGCCCCCAAGAGGCCCAAAAGAGGCTCCCAAACGGCCCTCTGCAGGCCTCCAAGCTGCCTCCAAGAGGCCCCCGAGAGGTCCCCCACGAGATCCCAACGAACATCCAATACGCTTTATACCCACAACCCAGGCACGGTGGCGGAATCGGCCCAAGGCCATTAGATAGTATATCGCCAGAAAGGCAGTATAGTTAGGTCGGGCATGTCCTCCTACAGGCGGATTTTGGATGAAAAATCCAATATTGTCGAATCTATATATATATATATATATGCACACCTATACCTATACGACCGCCCTGCTGGCGATAAGGAGGTTGGGGGGGATTGAGATCAAATGCACACCCTGACTGACCTCCAGCCTGCCACCTTGATCTCATCTCTCTCGTTCTCTCTCTCTTTCTCTCTCTCTTTCTATCTGTCTCTCTCTCTCTCTCTCTCTTTCTCTCGTTCTATCAGAGTCTCCCTCCACCACAATGATGATCGCGATGACGATGAGATCCCAGGATCTACCTATCCGTCGACCGACCTATTGAATTGGATAAGATAGGATGGATTGGATTGGCCCGCCGCAGGCGCAGAAACAAATGAATTGATGGATTGGGTTGGGTGGATTGGATTGGGTGGGATAAGATAAGATGGAACAAGATGGGTTGGATCAGATAATATGGATTGGATTGGACAAGATGGATTGGATCAGATAAGCTGGATTGGATAAGAAAGCCCACCGCAGGCGCCGAAAAAAATGAATTATGAAATTAGCGACATGCGTTAGCGCCAGGACGCCTGGGACAACCGGGACACCCAGGACACCGCCAGGCCCAACTGGGACACCTCCCGGCCACCAGCGGACTGCAAACGCACTTTCGCTCCTACTGACACCCAGGACACCCGGGACACCGCCCGGCCCAACTGGGACACCTCCCAGCCACCGGCGGACGGGAACGGACTTTCGCTCCTACTTCGGCCCAGCTACAGGAGGATCACGCGCAGCTTCGCCTCGCCCGCACGCACGACACGAACACGAAACCGAAACCGATTTCCCCGTGGTGGGTCTCCTTTTCACTGCGATCTCACCCCCCAACCTCCGATATTATATATATATATATGTATACATACATATAGATATATATATATAGATATATATATATACTAGAAATAGTCCCCAGCCTATTGTTTTACTATGTTTGAACATTCCTCGTGTAGAGGGGCACGCCCGACTTAACAGTGTAGCCAGAAAGCACCAGCTGTCGATCAAATACCATCAGGCTTCCGAGCGTGCGCGGCGCCCCCGGTTGCCCGACGCACACATACTACAAGCATGTTCGGGTGATGCCGGCTTGCGCATCAATCTCCGCTTCCCAGCACCCTCCCCCTGCATGGCCTCCCCGCGGTGCTTTTTTGTCTCGTGCGGCCAGCGCCAGACGGTTGGACGCACGCGCGCGCCTCACGCACTGGTGGCGAGGAGGACGGCGCGGCACATGAAGTGCTCCTGCTCCTGTTTGCAAGCATGCCAAATGACACTTCAGGTTCATTGAACCTGCTGTTTGATCTGTTCGCAACAACGCCCGCTACCACCACCACCCTCCCCCTGGTAACGTCACGATTCGCGCCGGCGCTATCTTTGAGTAGGGACCGACCGTCCCGGCATTCCTATAGTCCTACCACGAAATGTTCTTAGAACCCAAAAACGTTCTAAGAACAAAAACAATGTTCTTATAACATAAAGCTTATGTGATAAAACAAAACAGACTCCGCTAGTAATGTTCTAAGAACATCCAATGGAAACCACAAAAGGTTCTTAGAACATTGTTTGGTAGGGCTATAGGCGAGCCAGGACGCTTCGCCGCTGCTTGATATCTGGGAATGGCGAGGGGTAGCCAATTCCCAGACGGCGCCAGCGCAAATAGTGACGCAACTGGCCCCCTTACACCCCTCCCGCCTCCCGGCAACAACGACGTTATAGTCAGAGGGTGAAAATCTCATGCCATGACGACGCGGGCTGTAGTTTGCGTTACCGCGCGAACCGACCAATCTTTCAGAATACCCTTCGCCATGAACCTCCCATTTCCGTCGGGGCCTTCAGTCTTGAACGCCCACGCTCAGGCTTTCGCTGCGTCGCATACGGAACGAACCGTACGCTCCAGTGGGGCATAACAATGCATCAGAGAGGAAGAAACAGTGAGAGGCGTGAGCAGAGAACGCGGTCCTTACGAGAGCCACGAACATCTGTCCATGCGCTCGCGGTCTGAAGACCGAAGCGCGATCCCGTGGATACGCGATCCCGTGGATGCGTTCCGGGCGGGGCATCCGCAGAAGTCCGCCCTGTATGTATCCGTGGGGTCGCTGCCGATGAGTCCGGACCGCTCGGCCGCGGATGTCGAGATGTCTCCTGCCCACGAGGTCTGGGTATCCACCTGCCTGCCTGTCCTGCCGTCTGCCTGGTTGCAAACGCACAACCATCCGCCTGCCTGTCCTTGCCGTCTGGCTTGAGTCGGATGCGGCGCCGAGACGAAATACAGAGACACGTCAAGAAGCTGTGTCCAGAGGAACGCGACTGAAGGCGAACGGACTGTTCTGACTCGGCGGTTGTTAGATGCATGCTCGGGAGGACCAGCGGCGAAGTTTACATAGTAGCCATCCCATGATCACGCTATCTCAGAACAACGCTATGCCCGAACCAAAGACCTCGCTGATGAGTAGCGAGCCAAACTGAGACCCTTCGTGCATAATTGGACTGGCGGATAAGAGCGACGAGAAGATCAGCAGTGTGCAACAACCGACTCCCCCGCACCGATGCGACGACGACCACTGACAGCAGGAATCCTCAGAAGCTCCCTAGCGCGGCAAAAAGGGCATCTTGACTCTGGACCAACTTGAGGCGCGCAATGCTGGAGAGCCACGCTGGACAAACACCCGCGCAAGCCCTCGGAACGCAGAAGGCGACGGCAAGCCGTCCCAGCCCCGAGCCTTCGCGGTAGGCCCGCACGGGCATGCTTCTCGAGCCGCCGCAAAAGGTGGCCGCGTGACGTCGCAACTGGGGGCTCATCCTCCTGTCCCCAGGTACGGTCGGGAGCTTGTGGGTACGCTTTGCCCTGCGCATGGATAGCGCGTCGCTCCGCTCCGCGGGGCGGGAATGCTCGGAAAGGCCTGCGACGCTGACGCCCGGGAGCCAGGGAGTGGATGGCGTGTCGCTCCCAAGCGTGGTGGGCCAGAACTGTCGGAGCGACACGCTGTCGAAGAGTTCCCGACCACGATCTTAGGTCCAGCATGTCCCCTACAGGCGGATTCCGGACGGAAGCACGAAAGATACCCAAACAATGCGCAAAAAGAGCCAAGAATAGTCAAAAGATCGTCCCACGACTATTTTTCTGACTATTTTTGAATATTCCTCCTGTGGAGGGACAGTCTCGATTTGACCGCAATCGGTCAAGTGCCGCGCAGGCTGCACGAGGCACCCGTCGCATAGAGTCAAGCTGCTAGAAGCGCGCTCTCGGCCCCCCCCACAGACGCCTGTGTGCACGAGGAGCGCCAGAGCAAAAACCATGCAACGACCCCTCGTAGAGTCAAGTTGCTACCAAGACGAGCGCTGCACCGGGAGCGAAGCGCGCTCCTAGTCCCCCCCCCCAAGAGCGCCTGTGTGCACGAGGAGCGCTAGGGCAGCAACCATGCAACGGCCTGAGGAACAGCGAGCGCCCCGTCTGAACCCCAAAAGTGCTCGTCGTTCCAGCGTCTTGACTGCAGTCATCCGAGTACACAGCGCAGGCCACACGGGGCACCCGTCGTGCACCCCCCCCCCAGCGCAACAACAGCGCACGGCGGCAGCACGTGCAGAGAGAGAAAGAGAGAGCAGCGAGCACGAGCGGAGAGAACCAGGCCTCCGGGGCCAGAGAGCGCCCGCCCGCCCGCCACCGCCCCCCTCTTCCCTCCCCCCCCCCCGGAGGCAGGAGAGGCGAGGGGGGGGCCTCCGCCGCCCCGAGGGGCCCGCACGACGGCCCGAGGCCCGAGGCCCCGCATCCTCCTGCGGGCCGACGGCGCCCCGTGGACGGCGGCGTGTGGGCACTCTTTGTGCCTCTCTGCGGGGGCGAAATGCCCGTGGTTTGGGGGGCCCGAAATGGGTACGGAAAAAATGGGTACAATGCCCAGCAACAAGTGTTGTCCCAAACCACCAGCGGCCGCTGTTGGGCAGGCGGCCTTCTGTCTCGAATGGACACAGGCCGCGGCGGCGTGGACAGCGAGTCCTGTTCAAAATGAACAGGACCCGCTGTTGGGCATTGTACC